GTGGTCTTTACTTTATTGATATTATCTCCATAAGTCAAAAAGCTTTATCATTGCAAGTTGACAACTTAGCTTAGGAATATGTATAGTTAAGTGAGAAATTCCATGGAAAGTTGAAATTTTTCAGAAGGTAGCAGAAAATGTTGAAATGTATAGTTTGGACTGAAGAAGTGTCATATGATACAGGAAGTGAAGTTTAGCATATATTTATATATATATATACTTTTAAAAATGAGAAATTAAAACTTGTATAATATTAAAATATTAATTTTAAACATTTTTTCATTGCCAAGTTTATTGATATACATTGATAATATATTACTGTAATTAATTTTTTAATGTAATTGTATAAAAGGTTCTGACATGTACACTTTGACCTACCTGTAGTTAGAGATTGTCAAAATGTGTCAACCAGTGCCTTTTCTCAGGAGGGGTGGATCTGCTCCTTTACCAGAGTCTAGTCTCCAGAGAAATGGTTTCTGTATTTCTACATTCTAAAGATGCTGTCTGTACAGCAGACTTGCCTTTATCTACTGTCTTATCTGTTTGATCTTCTTATCATGATCCATTCTGACACCTTTGGTGTCATTTCTTGCATCCACTGACAGGAAGGACTTCACTCTTGGAACTTGTGTTTCCTTGCTCTAGCCCTTCTCTTTTTTGGCTCACAACTACCATTTTTGATTCTCGATGTATTGTGTCTCAGGAGTTTAGGTTCTGATGACAGATTAAATATCTTGTGTAGACTAGAATCTTCTTCCTGTAAAGTGGTCTCTCCTTCTTCTAGGTTTTACGATTTGTTCCCACTATGGAAGTCCAACATTGCTGACTCCCCTCAACACCTGGCTTTTGCTCTTTTGACTTCCAATCCCAGACTCTCCAGCTCTGACAGTGGAAGCTTTGTGTTTGGAGTGGTTTATTCTCCTTTTATAGGCAACAAATATATTTTCCTCTCCTTCTTGCTTGCAGAGACCATCACTCTCAATTTTTTTGCTTTGGATGCTTCCCACACCATTTGCCACAGGGACAGACTGCCCCAACATTGGGGTGGCTTGGGAGAGTGATTGAATATTTTCTTCATTCATCCTCTCTCTCCTTTTCTTCCCTGTATGATCATTTAGACCCAGCTTGTCTTCTTTGTTATGCATGGTTTATTAATTGGTATCTCCATTGTACTGTCCCTTTTTAGGGTACTTACCAACATTTTTTCTTGCTGTGGGATTCCTCTGTCTCTAGTGCTTTAACTTCTTCCACTTTGCACAATTGGATTATACATTCTTGTCTGTGATGTCCTCTGTTTGAGATATTGCAGATGGGAATATCAGTGACACTCAAAACATTAGTGTCACATTCCTAACACCACAAAGAGGTTTCATCTAGATTTTGTCTCCCTTCATTTCCCACTCTCCACTCTTCACAGTGGCTCTTTCATGGTGAGTTTTTACATTTCTCTTTTTTGCTTTTCAGGTCTCACAGTTACCTTATTCTCATTATATATATATCTTATGAAGATTATGAAACCCACTGTGTAGTCAGTGTTGCCTCACACAGAATACTTACCCAGAATTTGCATTGAGCAGGGGAGTAACAAAAATTTTAAATTTTATTTGTCAGGCCATTCTACATTGTAAGAATAAAGAAAGACAATACCAGGTTTTTGCTTGACCTCACACCTTTTGTATTTAGTCGCATTAACCATTTGAACTGTCTCTCAACTCCAGATGATTGTTCCTGATGACAATGGTCCACGAGCCTCTCTTGTTTTTTCCACTCCTCCCATTTCATTTAATGGAGTACGAGAGAATCCTAGCTTCCCTAGTCCCATGCTACTGAGGAAATCAGTATGGAAAGTTCCCTATTAGTTGGTGCAATTCCACTTGGACAAGATTCACCTCTCTCTCTTGGAAAGTAGGGATTTGGTGTTACCTGGTGATATAGTACAGGACACTCCACTATGTTATGAACCAAGCCACAGGTCTGGAATGCTACTATTTACACCAGTTTTTTTGTGATGAGTATTTCACCTAAGTATATGGAATGGCCTGACTTATAGTTGTAGCTACAGTACACTCTTATGCTGTCCACCTGTGAAGTAATGGATGGTTGAATAGCCTGACATTATTCCAACCTTAGTGACATGTTGGCACCCATCAGAAGATTCTTGTGACAATATCTTTTGCTCTACCACCTGTATTGGGTGAAAACTGTTCCCTGCATTAGAAAGATATGGTCTACTAGGCTACCATCTACCACATGGATATGACACTCAATGTCTTTCCCTTTCCGACACTGTTTTCAGAAAGGAGCTCATCTTTATACTTTCCTTGCCCCAGCCCTTTCACCATCTTAATGTGTGATTCTAGCTCTTTGTGGTGCATAAAGGAGAGTAGCACTTTATCTTACTTGAAAATGTATTTCTGATAGATATTCACTTCTTTGCACCACCTCCCTTCCTTTCTCTATACTTCTAGTGCATTTAGTTTGCCTCATGAAGAATGAAACTTTGTTCTCATGTTAGTCCTTATAGACATTACTGCACATGGGGGATGTGTTGTCCTCTTGTTGGTGGAGGGCTATAGTCTAATGGTGGTTACAACATAGGCTAGCACAATATATTAGGTCTTCAAGAAATTAATGTCGCTTATTTTAGATGAAAAAACCAAACAACTTGTATATCAAAACAAAACATTTATTAAATGAAATAGTCTCCATTCTTATCGATGATGCTTTTCTATCTTGCAATCAATTTGTTAATGCCCTGATTAAATAAATCACTTGGCTTTGAAGCGGAAAACATTTCGATGTCCTCTTTAACACCTTCCACATTTGCATATGTTTTCCCATTAAGATGTTGTTGCAGCAAACGAAAAAGCTGGTTATCTGATGGTGCC